TCGATCGGATGCCCAACCCCGCACAGCGCGATGTTTACGCACGTGCTGGGGGAATAAACTAAAGCATACGAGTGCTTTAGTTTAGAGAGTGATACGGGTGCTTTAGAGAGAGAGAACCGCAGAGACGCTTTCAACCGGCGGAGAGAGACACGCGCATGCAGACACGCGCGAGATCAAGCCCCACGACCGCAACCCACTCGTCCTTTCCTGCGGCCGCAAGACGACGCCACTTTGATTCGTGTGGGGTAGCGCTTCCCCCATGCGTCTGTCTGCCGAGAAAGGAGAAAGGGATAAACCGCCACCCAGAGGCTTTTAGAAACCAATTTGAGGTCCAAAGCAAAGGTGACGGATTTTTCCATCGGGAGGTCGCTGGGTGGGAGCGGCGGTGCAGCAGTTAAAGCCGCCGCCCGTGAACACGGCGGAGCCGAGTTCTCGTCCCGGCTACGACTAGCACGTCCGCGTCCATTGATACCTGGAACCGCTCCCTGCGCGTCTGCCGCTTTCGCTAACCCGCACTGACCAGCGTGGTGAAGTATGGTCGAATGCCTCGTGATGCCTGTAGCTGCGTCCAGTGTCTGGGGTGGAGCGGTGGCGGAGTGGTGAGCGCACCGTGCCATTTCCTTGAGTTTCATTCCTGGCCACGGCTACACATCAGGGGTTATTGATATCTCAACCGGTCCTGGGTAACACCGCAACACTTCAACACTTAACCCGGAGTATTTTCTTTGTCAGTATCGGCATCCAAGTCCATCCCGTCACCGAACCCGCGTGTGCCGGCATTATAGGTTAACATTTCTCGAATAAAAATTAAATAACAAAAATGGCTCAACATTTACGGTATTTAATTTTTAATGACGAATAGCAACGTCGTCGTCCCCTCCCGACAGACGAATGCTCGCTTGATGACCCGGTGTCTCCGTCACCTCGTGCTGCACAGGGGCAGCTGTCGTGTGTGGTGGGAGGGGGTCCCCTAGGCTAAAAATATTAGTTAACTACGGCTGGGCCTTCGACATTACGGTATTGAGTTGTGGTGCAAGGCGCTTTGAGATGCCGGGGTGGGAGAGCGGGTATTTAAGGACCCAATTAATGGACCTCCTATTAGCACGGTTGGCTACGTACGGTGCGAAAGAAGTTCAGCACGCGCAAGTACACACATCCTAATCTTTAAACATACACGATCGTTTGATTGAAGGCTCGCTGTCATTCTCACCTGGGTGCGTTGCGATCCCCTCCACGGATGAAACCGCTGTCATCTGTGAAAAAGAGCTTCATAGCTCATCGGATTCCTCCAGTCTAAATAAAGCTTTGGATTTGCAGACAACTTGAGGCACTCCACTGGCGACTCTCTTCGCTTCGCCGGATTGGCTGTTGGAATTCTCAGCTGAGCTCGCCCCTCCATCGCCCCCCCCCCTCTTCCCCCCATCTCGCCCCCCCCTCGCCCCCCCTTGCCCCCCCTTGCCCGCCGCTCGCCCCCCACTCGCCCCCCCGTTGTTCCCCCCCCCCCCCCACAGCTTGTTCTGGCTTAATTACACAACGGCGTGTGATGGCTTATTCCGCTAATCTCAAACCTCTCAGGATTAGTCTCCGGTTTCAATTACGCAGGGTTTGCCATCCATCTCAGGCTTTACGGATCGCACAAAGACAAAGAAATATATCCCCCAGTATAGCCTTAACAGACTGTTGGGGCAAGTGCTTTGAGCGAGCACCTATGATGGCCAGGAACAGCACACGGGGGGGGGGGGGGTGAGTGGCCAAAACCACGCCCGGCCATCCTTTGTCTCCTCAGTGGCGATGTTTACACACCGCACAAGCTACTCATTTGAGGCTGAGTCGACCTAGGGGAGGCCCAGGACCGGTTCAGATAATTGTCACCGGTGTTGACTGTTAGCGGGAATCGAACACGCTCACGGCTACCAAAAACCAGTGACGATTATCTGAAACAGGGTCATGAGCCTCCCCTCTGGTCGACTCGGCATCAAACGAGTACCTGGTAGCAGTGCGGAAATATCACCGCTGGGGAGACAAAGGCGGCCGGGCGTGGTTTTTACCACTCACCCCTCGTGCGCCATTGCTGTCCTTCATAGGTGCCACTCGCATAACAGCACTCAGCCTGCTCAGGCTACACGGGGGATCTTTGTCTTCATCGTAGAGGCTGCGTGCTGGCATCTTCACAGGGGTGGGGGGGGGGGGGACCCTCACAGTTGGCCCGTGAGCACGGGGCACTAATTGGAACTGCGTAAAAGAGCACGTGAATTATGAATGTGGTGGCACAGCAGCAGGAGCAGCAGCAGGAGCAGCAGCAGGAGCAGGAGCGTGTGTGTGTGTGGCCGTGCAAGAGGCAGAAGGGCAACCCTGCAATTGCTTTCTCGCTCGCGCCGCCGCTCGCTCGTGACGGTTGAGCAGTCTCTCTTCGAGAGGGAGCTCTCGAGATTCCCTCTCGAGCGGGGCTCTTCGTTGCCAGGTCTGGCGGCCCCTGGTGGCCTTTAGAGTGCCTCCTGACGTGCGGCGCCAGACAGTCCACACAGAGTGAAGTCGCCCCCCACCATCATCATCGTCGTTGTCGTCGTGCTGTTATCAAACCCAGCAATGGTTTCAAACGCGTGGCGGCCCCACACTGACGATGTCTCATTGGAGAAAGTGACCCCCACCCCTCTTGAAAATGAGTGAAGGACACTGCTCTAGAGGGCACTTGGTCTGCTATTCTACCCACACTGACCGTCCGTCTTGCAAGGGACGCCTGGTTAAGCGTGGCCACGCGCGTGTGTGTGTGTTACGTGAATTCCTGGATTCGCAACGCCCGTTCTGTTTAGCCAGCGTCATCATCATCGTCGTCGTTGTGATTGTCATCGCCGATCATGAAGGCCTTGCCAGAAATGTACTTTTCGGAATGGGAGTGAGTGTCGTCTTAGCACGGCCAATGCATCTCTGCACCGTGCAAACGGAACTGCGCGAGTTACGTTGTTGTAGGGCACTCGTGCCCACGTGGCCCCAAGATTATTCTTGCGTTTCTTTTCTTTTGTCCTTTCCGCGCACCTCCGACGAGCACGGTTGGCTGTGTGTGGCACAACGCAAGCTCGACATGCCTTAGGTCGTATTCGTCGTCGGTCATTGACGGTCGGGTGGCTCGGAAGGTCGGAGCGCCGAGTCGGCACCGTTGAGACGCCGTGTTGAATTTGAGCCGCCCGTGCTTTGACCGCGTTCTCAGGTTCGGCGAATTGACGGTCTCGGCACGATCGCCAATGTCTGCGCGAATGACACCGCATTCAAGTGAGCCCTTCGCTTTATCCGACTAAATTCGTACTCTGGGAAATTAGATTATTGGTTTGGCAGGCAATGCTGTCAGTCGCAGTGCGGGCTGGCAGAGTCGTGCTGCCCTTAACTCCGTACACCAGCGGTCACAGTTAAAGCATCTCAGAGGTAGCTCTGTGATATCCACTTCCACAGGCCAGCCACTGGCGGCCCTGGTGGCCTTCAGTGTGCCCCCTGAAGTGCGGCCCCCTGACAATCCACACAGAGTGAAGTCGCCCCCCATCATCATCATCGTCATCGTGCTGCTGTCAAACCCAGCAATGGTTTCAAACGCAGTGGCAGGCCCACACACTGACGATGTCTCATCAGAGAAAAGTGACCCCCCCCCCCCCGCCTCTGAAAATCAGTGAAGAACGCAGCTCTGCACACGATGGTGTGCACTGCCCTACCAGTGATCTGAATGGATGCTCGTGACACCGTGAGCACGTTCAAGATGACACGGTGGGAAGAACACACAGAACGGAACAAAACGCCTGCAATGTCCGCCCTTATTCGGCTTTTTGCGGTCAGCCGTGGCATCTCAGACTACCTCCCCGCGCTGCTGCGGTGGCGTACCGTGGATGGCACGGGCTTCGGTGTCTCCGTGGCCAGTGATGGACGGCGGCTCCTACCGTGGTGGCTGGAGTGGCGGGCACGGCGGTTAGCGCTGCACCGCGCTCCAAACAGCACGCGCTGTGACTTTGATTCCCGGCCACGGCCAACGTCGGTGGCGAGTGATTTGCCAACCGGACCTGGGCCCTCTCCTGGGTCGACTCGGCCTTAAATGAGGACCTGGTGATGTTGTGTAAACCTCGCCACTGGGGGTGTACAGTGGCCAGGCGTGGTGCAAAGGATGAGGATTTCCACGTGTTGGGCGTTTGAATGGCCTCGGCACCTGACATCTCGACTCGTGATAATATGGTTGTCCCCTTTCCGGCAATGAAACAGTTGTGTTAAGATGTTAAAACACCAAACTGAAACCTTTTGCAAGGTATCATGTCTGCATTAACCACATATACTTGTGGTAAACATGCAAACAAAAAATCATGCTCTGGTAGTATATAAAGCATTGTCTTTGAAACTGATTGGTCCACACCAGAGACAGCTTTATTTAGAGCCGAGTCTCAAACAGCGTTAGACCAGAGGATGCCAAAAGGCGAACAACACAAAGACAATGCCACTATCAGGACATTGAGAGCTCGGGGTGAGCAGCTGCATCATGGGACCTCCTTTGCCAGTATTCAATTATGATAATAGGGGTTTCCCCTTTCTGGAAATAAAACAGGTGTCAGTTCCAAAGACAATGCACATTCTGTCAGAGCATGTTCACTACAAGTATATGTGGTTAATGCAGACACGATTCCTTGCAAAGGTTTCAGTTTGTGTATTTTATCATCTTAACACAACTGTTTTAACGCCAGAAAGGGGAAACTCCTATTATCATAATTTAATTCTGGCAAAGGAGGTCTCATGATGTAGCGTCTCGACTCATCTTTACCATTCGAATTCCCAGACTGTAGTGTAGCACAGTGTACGCGGCACGGGCCTGCCAATGTGCCGCAGGCCGATGCTGGCCACGCTACCTCCTTCGTGCGCTGTGCCCCCCCTTCCCCCCTCCTTATTTATTAGATGATATCAAACAGCACTTGCCCCCCCCCCGACAGTCTGCGTAGACCACGTGGTGCATCCTCTTTGTCTCTGTGGTTGCACAGACAAGCTGTTTGGCAAGAAGCTGGCGCACACGCTGGTGCAGACGCGCTCCTGGATGAAGACCGTGCCCACCGACGACTGCGACGTCCTCATGGTCCTGCCAGGTACAGACTTCATCGTCGTGAGCCATGTTCTGTCCACTGCTGGGTAAAGGCATTCCCCGCGCCGTGTGTTTGCGCTGTGGCGTGGTGACCCTCTGTGTGGTTGTGCTGCGTGGTTGTGCTTCGGTGATCCTGTGTGTGGTGTGCTGCGTGGTTTCCCTGTGTCGTGGTGACCCCCTGTGTGGTGTGCTGCGTGGTTTCCCTGTGTCGTGGTGACTCCCGTGTGTGGTGTGCTGCGTGGTTTCCCTGTATCGTGGTGACCTTGTGCATGGTGTGCTGCGTGGTTTCCCTGTGGCGTGGTGACCCTGAGTGGTGTGCTGCGTGGTTTCCCTGTGTTGTGGTGACTCCGTGTGTGGTGTGCTGCGTGGTTTCCCTGTGTCGTGGTGACCCCCTGTGTGGTGTGCTGCGTGGTTTCCCTGTGTCATGGTGACCACGTGTGTGGCTGCGCTGTGGTGTGGCGACCCTGTGCGCGATGCGCCGCGTTGTCGTGACTCACTGGAATCCGCGTGTGGCCGCCGTGGCCCCCGCGTGCTCCCGGCAGAGAAGACGAGCGACGCCACGCTGCTGTGGCTGCTGAACAAGCTGCGCGTGGGGCTCCCCGAGCTCGTCGTGCAGGTGCGCCACCACCCGTGCACGCGCGCCTACGGCCTCTACCTCACCGCCTCCTACAGCCAGTGAGTGGATCCGCACGCAGAGGGGACAGCGGTGCCGCCCCGCCGGCGCCCCCCCCACACACACACCCCCCCCTTGCGCCGTACGTCAGAGGTCGCAATCGGGTACCTGATACCCGTACCCTACCCGATACCCGGGTACCCGTTTGCGACCCTGGTGCGGCCGGGTACGGGTACGGGTAGGCCGTGAGTCACTGGTGAGTAACTGTTTGTCACTCATTTCCCAACGTCTTGTCTCTTCTCACAATTCAAGTTCCTAGAATCAACCCACCCGCGCCTGGCTTCATCCCAGAGGTCGCAATCGGGTACCCAATACCCGTACCCTACCCATACCCGGCCGGGTATCGGGTAGGATACGGGTATCGGGTTCCCGTACCCGACCGGGTACGGGTACCCGTTTGCGACCCTGGTGCGGCCGGGTACGGGTACGGGTAAGGAATCAAAACCCGTTTGCGACCTCTGCCGTGCGTAGCCCTGGAAATGGACCATTGGGGCAAGCGCTGTTTTGTGAGCGCCTTTGAAGGGCTGGCACGCCCACCGGCCCGCCCGCCCGCCTTTGTCTCCCCGCTGCCGATGTTTGCTACGCACCGCACCAGGTACTTGTTCAAGGCCTCGGCAACCCGTCGCTGTCGTTCGCCGCTGTTTATTGGTTGCGAGCGGGGAATCGACCCGGGTTGCCGGGCTCATGGGCGCGGCGTGCCGACTGACCGCGCTGCCGATTCCCGCGGTCCGCACACATCTGGCGACCCGCCGCGGTGACGCATCCGCGCTCAAGCGACATTTCAAGCGCGTCCCGGTTTGGCTCGCAAGCCAGGTCGGGGACGAGAGTCGGCCGGTTTCGCGATGGGCGGTGACGCGGCGCGCCGTTTGATTGCGGCGGTTTGAACGCTGGAGGTGGCCCGCCCCCCCGGTGAATCCCGCGGTCGCGTGCGAGCGTGTTCACCGTTAAAAAGCACCATGCGCCGCCGGCTTCGCGGTGGACGTTAAATAAAGATCCCCCGTGACGTCATTCGCAAAGAGCAGGGCGTTTCATGGCGGTGTCTTGGTCCAAGCTTTCCGAGTTTGACAAGCGACCGCAAATGACAACTTGATGCCGGCAGATCGTACCCGTCTGCGAAACGTGGCACCTTCATCGTAGCCCGGCGCTATAGGATGACGCAAATACCTAACGTACTCAAATATTATTATTGCGTTTTTGTTATCTGGTTCGACGTCTTTCCATTTGTCACTTGATGGCATGTGTATCTTTGTCTATGTGTATCTGTGTGTGTGTATGTATGTGTATATAAGTGTCATGTGGTGTTGCTTTGCCAGACACGCTGGGGGAAGGCTTGCGGAGCCCCATTGTGGGTTCAGGCCGGGGCAGTCCTGCACGGAAGCCATATTCTCTGTCCGTTCGCTACAACGGATGCATAGGGAACCTCCATCTCTGCTTTATCGACCTGGTCAAGGCCTACGATACCATCAATAGGCCAGGCCTCTGGGTTATTCTTCATGCTTTTCGGGGTCCCTGACTCTCTGCGAGCCTTCGACCTAGCCTGGCACAAGCGCCGTGGTGACATCACTGCCACTTAGTCATAAATTCCGTCGGCTGTTGTTGTTGTTGACGTTCTTTGTGTGTGCGTTGCTGTGTGTGTCCCCTGCGTGCAGCCTGCTGTGCGGAGTGGAGCTGCTGTCGATCCGCAAGCCTGTGAGGGCCGAGTTTGGGGGCGGCATGCAGCCCTTCATGCGCGACGAGGACATCTTCGAGAACGTTGACAACGAAGCCCTCTTCCTGTCGTCCCAGGTCGGCACGCTCGCCCCACGCTCACCGCACTCTTACCCCATGCTCACCCCATGCTCACCCCACGCTCACCCCACGCTCACCGCACGCTCACCGCACGCTCACCCACACTCATCCATGCGCAACCCGGCCCCACCCAGCCCCACCCAGCCCCACCACACTCACTCAGACTCGCCTACACTCCGCTACGCTCCACACTCACCCACGCTCCACCCAGCTTCGCCATATTCACCCACACTCACTCAGAGCTCCACCACACTCACCCTTGCTCACTCACACTCACCCACACTCAGCTCCACTCCACATAGCACCACCACACTCACCCACACTCACTCAGAGCTCCACCACACTCACCCAGGGCCCAGCCATCTCCACCTAACTCCACCAATCTCTACAGTACTTCACCACACTCCACCCTACCTTACCACACACTCCACCGCACTTCACCATGGCCCTGCCACCAGGGTGGTGCGACGGCGATGATGTGGCCGTGTCGTTATGGCGATTAGTGTTTGTGGCGTTGGCGTTGTGGTGTTGTTGTGGTAATGTTGGCACAGTAGGGGGGCACAGCTGGTGCATCTGCCAGTCATCTCAGTCAGTCAACCCATGGCACCTTCCGGGCCTGTCCCGTGCGTGACCTCCTGCCAGCGATCCCAGGACACTTCACGTGGCCTCAAAGTGCACCTGGCCTGGCATGGGCGCCGCGGTGACGTCACCGCCGCTTCGTGGCGAACGGCGGGTGCTGCTGTTGTTGTTGTGGTGGTGGGCGGTGGTGGTGGTGATGCGTGTGGTCGTGTCTCGTAGGAGAGGCAGAGCATCATCTTCACCTGGCTGCAGAACCTGCGGGCAGGGCCTGGGGAGAGGCTGCATGACGTCTGCTTCCTGGAAGGACAGCCCATCGGTGGGCGCGCACATTCCCATCGTCGGAAAACAGAGGGGGAAAAAATACTCGCAAATTACTTGAGAAATACCGCCTAGAAGTGACTGTTAACGAGCTCGCTAGCGTATCTGTATTTTACCAGGTAAGGCCCACTAGAGCTATGTAGCTCGTTTTCAGACGCGACCTGGCCACAAATGATCGCTCAACGAAGTGGTTTATCACGTGGAAATTGAAGGGTTTTTTTGCCATGAAGAAGGATCATTGCCTGTAACATGACCTGTTCTATATTTTTTCTTTCAAAGCCATAGTGTTATCGATGAATGTGTTGAGTTTGTTTATGTGTATATTCATGTATTATGACACAGTGTTTCCTCACAGCTCGTGCGTGTGGTTTCCCCCGTGAGCGGTGGCGCAGCGGTTAGCGCACTGCTTGCGAATCCGACGACTCAACTTTGATTTCTGCTGACAACCGCCAACCTCAGTAACGATTATCCAAAGCGGTCCTGGTCCTCGCCTAGGTTGACTCGGCCTCAAATGAGGAGCTGGTGCGCTGTGTAAACATCGCCACTAGGGAGAAAAAATGCGGCCGGGCGTGGTGCTGGCCACCCAATCCATTCGTGTATCGTGACCGACCTTCATAGGTGCTCGCTTAACAGCACTTGCCCTAAAAGTCGGTAAAGGCTATACGGGGGGATCTTCGTCTTTGCTTCCCCCGTGCAGTGCTGGAGCTGCTGAACAGGAAGGTGATCGACCAGGTGTTCCCGCTGCACGATCGCGGTACGCTCACGAAGTTCATGAAGAGCTGGGTCCGGCCGTCCTTCCACCAGCAGCCTCTGGGTGGGTGGGTGGATGTGTGTGGGTGGGTGTTGGTCGGTGGGTGTTGGTGGGTGGGTGTTGGTGGGTCGGTGTGGGTGGGTGGGTGTGTGTGGGTGGGTGTTGGTGGGTGTTGGTGGGTGGGTGTTGGTGGGTGGGTGTTGGTGGGTGGGTGTTGGTGGGTGGGTGGGTGTTGGTGGGTGGATGTGGGTGGGTGGGTGTTGGTGGGTGGATGTGGGTGGGTGTTGATGGGTGGATGTGTGTGGGTGGATGTTGTTGTGTGGTTGTGGGGGTGTGGGTAGGTGTGTGTCTGGGGGAAGCGGTGGCGCATGGTAAACGCACTTCGCTACGAAACCGGCGACCTGAGTTCGATTCCCGCTCGTGACCAATAAGTGGAGAATATTTGAACCGGTCCTGGGCTTCCCCTAGGTCGACTCAGCCTTAAACGAGTACCTGGTGCGGTGTGTAAACATCGCCATTGGGGAGACAAAGGGGGTCGGACGTGGTGTTGGCCACCCACCCCCTCGTGTGCCGTGCCTGCCTTCATAGGTGCTCGCTAACAGCACTTGCTCCAACAGCCTGTTCAGGCTATACAGGGTATCTTTGTCTTTGTTTGCGTGGGTGGGTGGGTGAGTGTGGTTGGGTGCTAAAATGGCCAAGCAGGTTTTGCAGTGCAATCACGGCAGCCGCCCTGGTTAATACTGCGGGCGTTTTGTGAATGTCAAACGTCCGATGACATTATTCACCGTGACGCAGAGAGCACAGTTGGAGTAAATTGTGAGCAAAGGCAAAAACACATTAAACGTATTCGAATTGTATCGAGGATGAAGGCTTTGTGTGCAATAGTAAGATGATGATGGTGATGAGTTCCTGAGCGTTGAAGATATATTGTGTATGATTGAGAGACATGGGTGCTTGTGTGCCAGAGTGCAATTGGTAAATTGGGTGCCACGGTAGCGAGATGTTAACCGCCTCGCCTGGTATACAGGAGGTCGTGGGTTCGATGCTGACCCTGCCTTCCGCCTGCTGCTGTATATTTGGAGTTTGCGTGTTTCTCTCCCCGTGGCCGCGTGGATTTTTCTCCGGGTCCTCGGGTTTTTCCCTCCACATTTAGAATCAACATCACGCTTTGAGAGTATTTGGCTGCTATACATTTGCACGTGATGATGGTAAGCCACTTCGTTGAGCTATCAATTGTGGCCAGGTCACTTCTGAAAAAGAGCAAAACAGCTCGGTGGACCTTACCCGGTTAAGCAAAACAATTGTGCAGTTTAATAGTAACAAAAATTCCGTGAATTAATTGGGATAAAATTGTGGATTATTAAAAAGTAACTTGGCCATGGGACATTCACGTGCTGATCCAGCTCGGCAAAACATGCCTGGGTGAGCATTTCAAATTTGGAAGCATTCATCAGCAGCAGGAGTGGCGTCGCCCAACGTGCGTTTGCGTCCGCCCCTCCCGTGGTGTCCCGCAGACGAGGTGTGCGAGTACTTTGGCGTGAAGGTGGCCATGTACTTCGCGTGGCTGGGGTACTACACGTCGGCACTCGTCTATCCGGCCGTCTTGGGCCTCTTGCTCTGGGTCTACTGCTACACCACGCAGGTGCTGGGGAATGAGTTGAAGCACTGGTTGCACTGCCCTAGCTCCAGCGATTGTCGAGAGACGCCAACAGAAGCCGGTCAGTCAGTCCGTTGTCTGGAGGCTCAATCAGAGGTCGGTCAGTCAGTCTATTGTCGAGAGCAGGGGTCCCCAACCCCCGGGCTGCGGACGGGTACCGGTCCGTGGCCTGTTAGGAACCGGGCCGCACAGCAGGAGGTGAGCGGTGAGTCCGCGCGTGTCCCGCCCATTATTTAATTATTTACCACTTCCATCCGCGCCTCTTTCCCACACTGCACACTTGTCTCAGTCACAGTATTGGTAAGCCCACAAGCTGCTAACCCCTAGTAGCCACAATGAGTAAAACACAAATGTCGCTGGAGAGCTTCCTTGAAAACGTGAAAAAATTGTCTTCCAAGAAACCGGTCCCTGGTGCCAAAAAGGTTGGGGACCGCTGGTCTAGAGGCTCAATCAGAGGTCGGTCTGTCAGTCCATTGTCTAGAGACCCCATCAGAGACCGGTCAGTCAGTCTATTGTCTAGAGACCCCATCAGAGACAGAAAAGAGAGCCAAGCTTCTTCAATGCCTCTTCAGCCATTATAGTAATATATTCCTGGACAGGGTCAGATGAGATTGTTGTGCCAAGGCCGCTGAATGGCATTACAAGGGCTAAGAACAACACTGATGAATGTCACGGGGCATTACCCCCGCGAGCCACCTGGCCCGGCGATTCATCGGCCTTCGTCCACGGATAACACGGAGCAGCGTGGCTCAACGCGGCCAGCTGGCTGGGACCTATACAAGTGGACTCGCAGCGGCACCGAGCACCGAGCCGTGCCAATGTTGGGGGCTGTTTAGTCATCGCGCGTCACAAAGATCCCGTGAACATATTTGTCATACGCAAGAACAGAATTATTCTTATTATCAGGGGGTGTGGATGAGGGCAATTTCTTAGCGCCAAATGGAAACATAAGAGGGCAAATTACTTGATTGGGAAGTCGTTTAGCAACTTTTATTCATCACACGTCACAAAGACATTGATCCCCCAGACTGCTGTGGAAAGTGCTGTTATCGAGCACCTATGAAGGCCAGCACGGTACACGGGGGTGGGTTGCCAGCACCACGCCCCACCGCCTTTGTCTCTCCAGTGGCAATGTTTACATACCGCACCAGGTACTAATTTTAGGCTGAGTCGACCTAGGGGAGGCCCAGGACCGGTAGTTCAAAATAATCGTCACCGGTGTTCGGCGGCTGTCGGCGGGAAATCGATCCCCTCTCGCCGGGTCCGTAGCGCTAACCGCTTCACCTCGGCTCCCCACACGTGCGTGCGTGACAGTCCAGCCAGGACGCGGGCTTCGTGCTCTTCTCGCTGTGGAACGTCGTCTGGGCCTCGGTGTTCCTGGGCGGCTGGAAGCGGCGAGGCGCGGAACTGGCGTACCGCTGGGGCACGCTCGACGCCACCGTCGACCTGCTGGAGGAGCCGAGACCCCAGTACCAGGTGGGGGGGAAGGGGTATTGGGGGGGGGGGGCAGTGCTGATTGGGCAGGGCACGGGAGGGCAGCACTCTGGCAGCACGGGGGGCAGCACTGGGGAGACTCAAACGGGAGACTTGACCATTGCCGCCCCTCCATCCACCTCCATCCACCGATGACATCTCTCGCCACGCGTACAAGTCACACACGCACGTGCCCCCCCGAGTCTCCTGCTCTCTCTCCCCTCACCCTCCTCTCTCTCGCTCTCCCCCACCCCTCTCCCCGCCACGCAGGGCGAGAAGCGCGTGAGCAACGTGACGGGCCGCGAGCAGCTCTACTACCCGAGCTGGAAGCGCGAGCTCTTCCGCTGCTTGGTGAGCGTGCCCGTGTGCGTCGCCGGCCTCGCCCTCGTCTTCGTCACCATGCTCGCCTGCTTCCAGCTGCAGGTACCTGGGCAAAGGGAGGGAGTGGGCGGGGGCGGGGGGGCAGGGAGGGTGGGAGGAGGAGTGAAAATCGCACGAAGTTTAATTTTCAAGATAAGAATAAACGATACTTGAACCACGCGTCGTTTTGTTGATAACTCAATCCTACCGCTTGCAAATCGAGAGCCGATTTCATCGCTCCATCTCCGCTTGGGACGTCTCTCTCCGTTGTTGGGAGTCTCGAACAGCGGCCATCGCCCCGGCCACGATGTTGTCCTGCCCAAGCCCATTTCACCAGAATCAGGATCTGTATTTATACCTGGAGGAGGAACCCCATGAGCTATAAAGATGTCTTACACAGATGTTCAGTAGGGGCGGGTCACAATGTTACAACAACACAACAATACACAAAGTATAGGAAAGGTAAACAAATCACTCGTAAAATATATACAAATAAAAATAAACTATTTTTTATCTTCCCAGGTAAAGCCCACTGTGGTATTAACTTATTTTACAGAAGCGACCTGGCCACAAATGAGAGCTCAACAAAGTGGCTTATCATGTGGAAATCTATAGCGGCAAAATAATCTCGATAATTGAAAGATGGTGTCACACGTCTGGCTTCTGGTCGTGCTGTGAATCCGAGTTATTATTTTCGTTAATGATGTACCTCGCCCAACCCCCTTCTGGCATCACACCGCTACTGCTGTCACCATCCTAGAATCTCACCCAGAGCCAGATGAACGCTGCTGCTGCAGCTGCTGCCACCATCCTAGAATCTCACCCAGGCCCAGAAGAACGCTGCTGCTGCTGCCACCATCCTAGCATCTCATCCAGAACAACGCAGCTGCTGCCACCGTCCTAGCATCTCACACAGACCCAGAAGAACGCTGCTGCTGCTGCCACCATCCTAGCATCTCGCACACACCCAGAAGAACGCTGCTGTTGCTGCCACCATCCTAGCATCTCACACAGACCCAGAAGAACGCTGCTGCTGCTGCTGCCACACCATCCTAGCATCTCACCCAGAACAACGCAGCTGCTGCCACCATCCTAGCATCTCACCCAGACCCAGAAGAACGCTGCGAGCAAACTGAGTGGAACAACGTGGACGTCCAGAATAATCGCCTCATCCCAGACCGAAACGTCACACCTGCTCCTGGCTTTGACATTCCTCCTCGAAGACGTCGGTGGTGGTGGTGGATCTATCATCCCCATCAGAACATCACCACCTGGCCTATGATGCTCACCTCTCCCTCCTGAGTAGAAAATTAAAGACACAAGCCACAGCAGTGCGTTTTTGCCCATGGACCACGTGGTAAACCACTGCAGTCTACTCTCCTTCAACGGAGGGGGAACAGCAAAACTACACCAACTATCTCCTTGAAGTCCTCTCGTGGCTATAGCAGACCCCAACATTGGCATCAATATGCTGAACATATTTGTCATACGCAAGAACAGAATTATTCTTGTTATCAGGGGGTATGGGTGAGGGCAATTTATCAGTGCCAAATGGAAACATAAGAGGGCAAATTACTTGATTGGGAAGTCTCTTAGCAACGTCGCCCCCTACCGGCAGACCAAGGCCTGCTTTGCGTCCTGTGCTGATGGTGCCACAGGGCCAGCTCTCGGCTAGGCATCTCTGGATGTCGTGCACGACAGACGCGATGTAAATACGATGTGGTGGTGGTGGTGGTGATGATGATGATGTCGTTTGCTGCTGTGTCTCTGTGTATATCTTTGTCTTTGTTGTGCTGGAATATTGGGTGATGGTAGAGTAGTGGTTAGCGGACTGCTCTCTGAACCCGGCACCCCAAATTCGATCCTCGCTCGCGACCAATAACACAGGCGAATATCTTATTCGCTTCTGGGCCTTGCCTAGGTCGACTCGGCCTCAAATGAGTACCTGGTGCGATGTGTAAACATCGCCACTGGGCAGACAAAGGCCAGCCGGGCGTGGTGTTGGCCACTCACCCCCTTATGCGCCATGCCAGCCTTCATAGCTGCTCACTAACAGCACTTGGCCCAATATTCCGTTAAGGCTATATGGGTAATCTTTGTCTTTGTTGTGTGCTGGAGTGGACGTGCAAGTGGTTAGCGTGCCGCACTACGAACCCGACAACCCGAGTTCCATTCTCGCTCGCGACCAAATAACAGATGTGAATTTGGTTAACTGATTCCAGGCCTTGCCAAGATAGACTTATAGTAAACATCAGCACTGGGGAGACAAAGGCGGCCGGGCGTGGTGTTGCCCACCCATCCCTAACTGCGCCGTGCCAGCCACCATAGGTACTAGCTTAGCAGCACTTGCCCTGACGGGTCCGTTTTAACGGCTACGCTGGGGATCTTTCCGCCTGCGTTGCAGGACTACCTGCTGAGTATGGAGGGCGTGTCGGACTGCGTGCACTACCTGCCCAAGGTGCTCCTCGCCATCATTGTCACCCTCCTCAACGACGTTTACAACAGCATCGCCTACTGGCTCAACGACAGGGGTGCGTTCTACAGCTCCGGCAACGTCAATCGGTGGCGAGATGTTAACTACCTCGCTTGGTATGCAGAGGGTCGTGGGTTCGGTCCTGATGCTGATGCCTGCTGCTGTATATTTGGAGTTTGCGGTGTCGCTTTCCCCGTGGTCGCGTGGATTTTTACCAGGTCCACCGGTTTTTCCCTCCACATTTAGAATAAACATGACGCGTTTAGAGTATCTGGCTGCTAGAAATTTCCATTTGATAAGCCACTTGGCTGAGCGATCATTTGTGGCGCTATAGAGCTCAGTGAGCCTTACCTGGGAAAATAAAAACAATAGTTGAGTTTAATCAACAATCCATGGTCTATTCACTGCTTGATGAAGGCCTCCCCATGCTGTCATCTTTGTTCAACCGTCGTGAGCTACAACCTCAAATCCATTAGCGGCCTCTTTCCAGTTGCACAGGGCCGGTACTTGATCAAGAGTTGGAGTGGATGGCCCGTGGCGTAACGTGTAACTCTTCCGCCCGTGCCTGTAATTAATCTGCTGGGCTGGGCTATCTATTCTCCTGCGACGTTCCGGCAGAGGAACGACTAATGATCCATGCCGGGAGTTAGTTAATGGAGCCATTAACTCTGCTCAAATAATTATCGGACGCACGCGCCCACGCACACGCACGCGCGTCCCACATTCTCTGAACGTGATGCGACGTGTCGCCCACACGCATGCGTTGTTCTGAATGCCAAGTCGTTTTTATTTAAGCCGTCGTCTTTCTGTTAATGCCGGTCTTACTCTCGGCACCATGCCCTGCGACAATACGTCAGGCTCCTGCGCACGGTCTTGCTTCTTCTTTGTTTGCAGCGAGAGATATCCCCAATATTCGGCTTCTGCGTGTCCGCCACTTTGACCGCCACTCTTCCGTTAGTCCCGACCATCGGATCATCGTCATTCCTCGTAGCCGTGACGTGCCCTGCCCAGAGCCCACTTAACTTTTTTTAGCAGTCCAATTGATGTCCCCTGACGCATTCCTACGCCAATCCACCTGTATCTGCCTTCTGCCTCTCGGTATTATTTCAACGGTGTGTTTCTCTCTGCGATTCTTTCGCGTACCTCGATTAAACACCATGATGTGTCCCGCCCAGGTCCGCTTGCACTTTCTGGACGGTCCACGTGACGTCCCTGTCTTGCGTTTTTTCTCCGGCCCGTGCGCTCCACTTTCTGTGCAATTGCAGGCATCCGCCTCTCCACGCTTCTTTGCGCACCATTCAGTTTTCGCTCCGCTTTTTTTTTCTTCCCATCACAGTCTTCACTTTTTTGACCAATGTCTCGTAGTTGCTCACGTGCACCAGTATGTTGCTCTTCATTAAGTTGGTTGCTTTGCACGGTCTTCTTTGAAATGAACAAATCGCTCCAATCCACTCGCTCGCTCGCTCCGTCACGTTTTCATTTTTCTTGCGCAGAAAACTACCGGCTGCAGACGACGTACGAAGCCCATCTCATCATCAAGCTGGTCATGGTGAGAATAAAAAGGAGTGGTCGTGAATATTTGACCGTGAAATGGATCTTAACTCGCGACTCTTTAACCCGTGGCACGGAACGGGGAGTGGAGTCAAGGAAAAATCGGGAGCAAAAATAGTTTGAAGAGGTGAAGATAGGCAGGCAGAGGTGAGGGGAGATGAGAGGAGAGGTGAGGTGAGGATTGTGCAGGCAGAGGCGACAGGAGGGCCTCAACGCTGTCGTACGGAGCAGGCGTCCGGGAGTGGGAGGGTGGCCACACGCAGAAGACACATGATTTACAGGAAGGCTTGAGCTGATTTAGGTATCAGCGATGAATGTTTACGGATGAATGCTGGATCATTCACAAACTGTTGTTTTCCAGTTTCAGTTCATAAATTCCTACCTGAGCCTGTTCTACATCGCCTTCTACCTCAAGGACATGAAGAGGCTGAAAGAGGTGCGTTTCCACCTTTAGCAGCACTCTCTCTAAATTCATGACACGGGGCCTAGTACAAAATACATCAGCGGTCGGTGCTTAAACATTTGTAAACAAAAAAATACATTTGATTGTTAATCACAACCCAATTTGTGCTCGTCAGGCCCGTGTTAATGAATATTAATGGCTATTAATGAATGCTTCCCAGCAAATACGAATGTTTCGATTTAAAGCTTTCGTGACTGCAGGGATTCATCTTCTTGGTTCTTTCGGTAAAGTCACGTAGAAGGGAAGTAATAAAATAATAAAAATAAAACATAATAAATTTTTATTTTATTTTATTATGTTTTATTTTTATTATTTTATTACTTCCCTTCTACGTGACTTTACCGAAAGAACCAAGAAGAAAAATACGAATGTCATTCACAACTTTGACGGTGCTGTTTTGGAACCTGCGCTCGGCAATCGTGATGAAAAATATTTTATTCAAATACATTATTATTTTCACTTTCCGTGCAATTGCAGGCATCCGCCTCTCCACGCTTTGTGCCCCCTGTTCAGTTTTCGCTCCGCTTTTTTTTCCCCATCACAATCTTCGCTTTTTTGATCAATGTCTCGTACTTGCTGACGTGCACCGGTATGTTGCTCTTCATTAAATTGTGTTGCTTTGCACGGTCTTCTTTGAAATGAACAAATCGCTCCAATCCACGCCGTCGCCCGGGCAGATGCTGGCGGCGCTGCTGATCACGCGCCAGCTGATGCAGAACTTGCGCGAGGCGCTGCAGCCGTATGTCATGGAGAAGCTGCGCCGCATGGACCTGGCGCGGAGACCCCGGGACGCGACGCACGCGCCGGAGCCGTACGAGGGCATCTCCCTGCATGACTACTCGGACGCCTCCTCCTCCTCCTTATCATCACCCCCGCCCTCGTCCTCCTCGTCTCCCCCTGCCGACTCCTCATCCTCGTCATCGGCCGCGTCGCCCGGTGTTGGTGAAACCGGCGGCGACGATGACCGCAACCGTGGCGGCGGCGGCGGCGGCTTCCGGCAACTGACCGTGGGCTCCGTGTATGGCCACGAGGACGAGTGGGGATTCTCCGAGGTCGGCGGCTCCGAAGAAGCGATGATGGAGGAGGACGAGGCGGAGGGCGAGGTTGGAGGAGACATGGTGCAGGAGTCGGACGTGCCGGTCGGCTGTGGCGCGGAGGTGCCGGGGGCCAGGGAGACGCAGGGAGAACGGGGGCTGTCGGAGAGTGGGGGGGCGGCGGACTCGGTGAGGTTGCGGGCAGCCAAGGCGGGGGCAGCTGATGGCACCGCTGCTGCTGCTGCTGCTGCTCAGACCTGGGGGCAGCAGGAGGCTGGGGGAAGAGGTGGGGAGGAGCAGACGCACGAGGGGGAAGAGGATCATCCTCCCATCGCCCAGGCCGAAATAGAGAGCTGCATGGACCAATACAAGGCGAGTGGGCGTGGCGGTGCGATGCTGTGATGCTTCATTATGGCACCGTGATGGTGTTCATGGAATGCACGGTCCAAATACACATGGCTCGTCTTGTAGATATTGCTGACTGTCCGTCATCCACGTACGGATTGTCTGTGTTGCGCGTTTACCGTGCTTGTGAAGAGAGGGAAATGAATAGCAGAGGGGGGGGAAGGGGCATTGCTGCACGCTCGTCTGCACGTGTTACGTGCTCGCTGTTTCTCTTGCGTGCACTCGGTGACCGATTTCTGTGCAAAAACATTTATACACTCCCAGAAGGCCGTGCAGCCGAGGGGGTGTGTATTAAAAAAAATTGCCGTTATTTGTGTGTGGCGGGGGACAGCTATGTGAAGAAGGAGACCGGTGGTATTGTCCGCTAATATTTATCTCGAGACTGGAATTGTCCACAGCGACGGCGCTCATTATTCCGCGTTGGTCACGGCGCGGCATTAAAAGCCGCCGCGTGCCGTTTGGCGACTCTCCCCTTCCCCCCGGTGCGTGCCTCCCTAGGACACGATCGAGGACTACCTGGAGATGTACGTGCAGTTCGGCTACGTGGTTCTCTTCTCCTCGGCGTTTCCGCTCGCCGCGCTCTGCGCCCTCGCCAATAACCTCATGGAGATCCACACGGACGCCTTCAAGCTCTGCACGGGCCTGCAGAGGCCCTTTGGGCAGCGCGTGCGCAACATCGGCCTCTGGCAGGTCCAGCCCCCACGCGCCCCCACAGGAGCCGACCGGCGACACGTTACTTGAGCGGCGGGTGTGGAAGTTAGGGTGGGGGGGGTGTCCGCTTTTTTGGTTTTGATTTGGGCATGGGAGAGCTCAAAAAGAGGCCAGAGTAGTCCACATTGGCATGAACTCTACGTATTTCTTCTTGGGTTCGTTCGGTAAAGTCAAGAAATTCAATTAAATCAAAAGGTCCTATTCTATTATTATTTAATTTAATTTCTTTCTACGTGACTTTACCGAAAGGACCAAAGAGTAATTCCTGCAGTCGCGAAAGCTTTGAATCTAGTTTCTACGTATTTATGTTCAACTTCTTTGGCGCCGTACGTAGGCAACCGTGGCTAATCACAGGTGCGGGGGAAAAGACAGCAAATTAAACACACAGAGCAGTATATTCTTGGTTCTTTTGGTAAAGGCCGACTTTACCGAAAGAACCAAGAATATGAATCCCTGCAGTCACGAAAGCTTTAAATCAACACAGAGCAGTTCCAAAGACGCGGGTTTGTCATTCTAAATGATGACTTCAAACTGCATAGTTCCCGGTGTGCTTCCTGTCATCGGAACGAAAGTGCGTTCCAGACGGCCAGCGAAACTGATATGTCACAGCGGTCGCCCACAACGTCGCTGAGCCGCCGCTTTCTCGCCGCGCAGGACGCCATGGAGTTGATGGTGTCGGTGGCCATCATGGTGAACTGCGCCCTCATCGGCCAGAGCGGGCAGCTCAAGAGCCTCTTCCCGTCGTTCAGCTCCGAGGGGATCGTCCTCGCCATCGTCCTGCTCGAGGTTTTGCAGCAGCTCCCCCTGGTGTCTGTGTCTCTCTCTCGGTCTCTGTTTCTCTCTCGGTCTTTCTCTCTCGAGCCCGCGTGAAGATTGTCCTCACAGGACAGCCGAATTCCATTGGCCGGCAACCACACTTTAGCAAAGACAAAGATCCCCTCGTGCAGCCTTGACAGACTTTTTTGAGACGACTGCTGTTAGCGAGCACCTATGAAGACCGACACGGCACACGAGGGGGTGGGTGGCGAGCGCCACGCCCGGCCGCCTTTGTCTCCCCGGTGGCGACGTTTACACAGACACACACCTCCATCACTGCAAGAGGCCCTGGCAGTGACACAAGCGATTGAGCGCGCTGTTATTAGAGGCGCATCGTTGTTGGCCACCCACCCCCTCGTGTGTCGTGCCAGCCCTCGTAGGTGCTTGACAACGGCACTTGCCCAAACAGTCTGGTAGAGGCTATATGGGAGATCTTTGCCATTGTCTTGTTGTGATTCCGTGTGATAGGGGCTCGCTAACAGTGCTTGCCCCCAACAAGTTTTACAAGGCCTTTTTGTGTCCCCTCGTCGTGCGTGCACACAGAATGAAAATATGTATTCATACTGGAGGAATCCAATGAGCTATATAGCTCTTTTTCATAGATGTCCAGTATGGACACGGGGTCATAACGTTGCAACAACCAACAATACAAAAAACGATGGGAGTTCAAAGCATTGGATTGGTAATCAAATCGCTTTAATATATATATATATACAAATACAACTAAACAATGTTTTCATGTTACCAGGTAAAACCCACTGAGCTATTAGCGTGTGCGTGCCTGCGCGTGCGTAGCACTGCGGGCTTTTGCTGAAGTACGCCATCCTCAAGTTGATCCCGGACGTGCCCTCCTGGGTCGCTGAGGAGATGGCCAAGCTGGAGTTCCAGAGGAGAGAGACGTTCAAGGTACCACCACGACCACCACGACCACCACGACCACCACCAACGACAACGACAACCGCCATTCGCCACTGATTGGCTGTGACGTCACCACGGCGCTTGTGGCAGGCTATGTACACGTTGAGGCCACGTGAAGTGGCCTTAACGTGCCGGTAGGAGGTCACGGGACAGACCCAGGTGCCACGGGTCGACTGACCGAGATGACTGGCAGAAGCCACCTGTGCCCCCTACTGTGCCAACCTGCTGTGCTTTAGCCGCCCGGCGTTGTTGTGAGTGTCGCTACTCTGCCCTCCGTTGTTGCTGGAGGGCGACTGCCTCCAACTGCCCAGCAGCAGCAGTGTCCTTCACGAGCCTCCTCCACAGAGGCTGATCTTGACACCGCTGATACCGGTCATCAGCAAGTCCACTCGGCTCCACATCCTCTTGTACCACTTCACTCTCCACGACCACTGCCACCACCGCCATCACCGCACTCCCCCTTGTCACATGCCTGCATGAGGCCCGCTACAGGAAACAGGGACAGCTCCACTCCCAGATATGTCTCTAAGACACTTTTATATAGTTCAAATCATTGCTTTTGCTCATTCGTCTGTGTGTTTGGATTTTGGCCACTGTTGTAGTTTTATGCTACAATTGCTGTCATTAACCCCTCCACCGTCATCAAACAAGATTGTCATCTCTACTCGGATATTTATTTATTCTAATGCATTGCCACATGTGTTCGCCATGGTGGCGATGTTAACTACCTCGCCTGGTATACAGGGGGTCGTTGAGTTCGATCCTGACCCTGACACCTGTATATTTGGAGTTTACGTGTTCTCTCTGTGGACGTGTGGACTTTTCTCCAGGCCCTCTGGTTTTTTCTTCCATATTTAGCATCAACATGCGTTTAGAGTATTTGGCTGCTATACATTTCCACACGATAAGCCACTTCCTTGAGCTAGCATTTGTGATAGCCAGGTCACTTTGTAAAGGAGCTACATAGTTTAGTATTGATCATATTCTGACCAATAAAGTTATATCATCAGTGGCTTAAGACTTTTAATGACTAAATTCAACATCAACGTACGACTACGTTTTGCTCAGAATTTTTTGGGCTTTGCTTTGAGCTTCATCCGGCAGTGAACTCGGAAGACGAGTGAGATGCATCGACTGCCTCCGTGCTTTCGTTGTGTTTGGCTATGAAAAGTTTTAAGTTAAGTGTCGTTTCTCTGCAGCCGATTTGGTGACATGACCTCGTGTTGAAATACAGAGCCCGGCAAAGGGGCGTCATCGCTCACCCAATAGCACAGCATAGCAATCGAAACGATGGCGCGTTCACCAGCGGTGTGATGGCACGTTCACCAGCGGGGTATGATGATTCGGTCGTCAGCGGTACGATTGCGCGTTCACCAGCGATGCTATCATGCGTTCACCAGCAATACTATCATGCGTTCGCCAGCGATACGATTTCACGTTCACCAGCTGTACGATCGTGCGTTCTTCAGCGGTACGAGCGAGCTGCCCAGCTGCGGCGGCAGCAGAAGGAGGAGGAGGAGAGGCGCGAGCAGCTGCGGGAGGAGAGGGCCGCTCACCTCCGCGCCAAGGACGCTGCCCGCGAGAGCAGCAAGGCGGACGAGCGAGCCGGGCACGGCTCGGCGCAGGGTGCGGGCAACACGCCAGGATCGTCCGGGTCCACGCACGGCGGCGACAAGCAGCACCAGCACCAGCAGCAGCACCAGCAGCAGCACACGAGCGGCGGCAGCAGCGACAAGCCCCGACGGCCGTGCTCGCTGCCCAAGAGCATGAAGCTCAAGCAGATTATCCCCATGCAGGGCCGAATGCTCTCTCCCTCGTCCACGACAACAACGACAACGACCGCGTCAACGACGGCGGTGGTGGCGCCGTCTGTTTCAAAGGCGGCGCAGCCCGTGGCGGCCGCAGGCGATGAGAGGACGGTGTCCGGTGCCACCAAGATGCCCGCCGCCACGCAGTCGCCCAACGGCGAGAGCAAGCTGCCGGGCTTTCTGAGCCGGCGCTTCCTGCGCTCGCCCTCGGCGGAGAGCCGTGCGGCTACGGCGGGCGCCGCCGCCGCAGCCGGGGGATCCGCCGCCGCCGGGTCGGGCGGGGGCCCCGAGCGAGCGCAGTCGCCCACGAAGCTCGGGAAGCTGTTCGGCTTCGTCCGCGCCGATGGCGGCGGCGGCGGCAGCAACTGGAACGGCGCTGGCGCTGCCGAGAAAGAGGAGGGCTCGGGGGATCAGGTTTTGACGTCTCCGTCCGTGTCGTCGGCGTCGTCGTCGTTGTGCTCGGCCGCTCCGGTCGTCGCACGGCCCGAGGGGGCGGGCGGCCCGTCTCAGATTTCGGTGCGGGAAGGCAAACACGAGGAGGCGTACTCGGAGAAGGGAGACTGAAACGAGCGTCGCCGGGCCGTCGCCGAAATGCGGCAGCGCGAACCGCTTCTCTCTGAATTCCGTTCCTGAAGAGGGTCGTGGCACACGAAGCGAAACGTCGGACAGCGCGTGCGGTACGGCCCGATGCAACACATCGGAACGATATACGGGCCGACCGCGGAAAACCGACATTGTGGTCTTCGCAACGTGACCGTCTCTCTCTCTCTCTGTGCTCTAGCATCGGCGGCTCGACTCTGTGGTTGAAAGCGAGTTTTATTTATTACGTTCTTTGCGGCCGTGTCATTTGAGGTTTATATCCATGTGCTTTGCAATGGTGTGGTTGACTGAATGAGAAGAGCATATGCAAGTGTGGGTGTTGGCCTCGCAGGGAGTGTGGGGGAGGGAGGTGGCGGCGCTGTTATTGAAATGCGAATGATCTCAGAGTAGCGGATGGAGAAGATTGTGCGTGCTATTTTGCCAACTGGAGATTTTGATGAGGCGAAACTCCGCGAGTTTGCTGCTGCGAAACAAAGAGACACTAAATTGACGCAGTTTCAATTCGCCATGGGAGCGATAGCGTTCCACGGTAGCCGCAGCGTTCCATATTCTCGGCGACCATTAACGTGTTCGCGGCTACCAGCATGCACCGTGGCGTTGTGACAAAGTGAGGGGCCAGAAGTGGAGGGGAGGGAACTTCGACGTGGCTGTGGATGCCACCAGATGGCGCTTCAGCGGTGCGCACGATAGTGACGTGACTGTTACTTAAAATGATTTTCTTTCGTCTCTAACGACAGCCCAGAGGTCGCAAACGGGTTTTGATTCCTTACCCGTACCCGGCCGCACCAGGGTCACAAACGGGTACCCGTACCCGGCCGTACCCGTACCCTACCCGTACCCGGCCAGGTATCAGGTAGGGTACGGGTATCGGGTACCTGATTGCGACCTCTGGGATGAAGCCATGTTGCAGGCGCGGGTGGGTTGATTCTAGGAACTTGAATTGTGAGAAGAGACAAGACGTAAATGAGTGACAAACAGTTACTCACCAGTGACTCAGGGCTTACCTGTACCCGTACCCGGCCGCACCAGGCTCGCAAATGGGTACCAGTACCTGGCCGGGTACGGGTAGCCGGGTATCGGGTAGGGTACGGGTATCGGGTACCCGGTTGCGACCTCTGCGACAGCCTCTAGGGTGTGTCCCAAAGTGAGGAGAGACCTTTATTGTTTAGTTGAATTTTTTTAAGAACTAAAAAAAGTAGAATTACTCACTCTGAGCCTTGGGAACGTTAACAAACGACGTAATGTCTGGATTGCAAGATGCTCCACAAAGTACGACGCACACACACACACCTACCGCGCACGTAAGATGCACGCCCCAACGTTGGCTTGAATATAAAGGGGTTCGGGGCGAAATATTTGTCTGGTGATGTGTAGAATACGGTTTGAGTTTTTGCCATCATTTTTGTTATTTTTCCCTTTTTTTTTCAACCTGAACAGGGGGACTTGCCAAACCATGCTGCTGGGTTACCAGAAATAATTCTGGTGGTGCAATAGTTCAGGGGGTGGTGGTGGAGTTGGGGCCAAATGAGGTGGAGCGGCACGGTTGAAGACAAAGTGACCTTGTGGAAAGGCGACAAACGCTGGCCGTGGCTATGTACATATGTATGTTGAACTTCTTTAACACCATACGTGGCTAACTTTGGGGCTCTGTATGGGTGCAGCCCGTTCGCCGCTGGGATGAGGGGGCCTTTCCACGCCTTGCGAATCCCTGAGCGATATGTTGACCACGTTTCGTCACCACATTGGTCGGTGCGGGTTGTACGTGCCGTACGTACGTTGCACTTCTTTCGCATCGTACGTAACCAACCGCGTCTATCGGAGGGTTGGTGAAGTTCAGGGCGGGGGAGTGCAGACCAAATAATGGATTTTTCTGCACATCCCTCAACTGCCCACATCACCCACTCCTCCTGTCGGTTGTGCACGGTGGCGGTCACCCATCCAAGCGCTATCCAGGCTCAACTCATGCTTAGCCAACTGAGATCTTACGAGATTGGGCGCAATCCGGGTGATTTTGTCATTTGAAACGGAGTCCGCTGTTTAATTATTTTTCCGGCAATTTGTAGAGCTGGCTCGGAGGTGGTTGTTGTCAGACACTCTCATCCAGCCAAGTGTAGAGCCTGGGTTCGATTCCAGGCAGCCACCTGCGATTAAACCGAGTCCTCGCAGGTCGTAAATTGACGATCTCAATGGCTGCAGAAAAAAAGGATCCCATCCATTACGAGTCGGGTTTTCACTTAATTCAGTCTTGATCAGGTCTACAAAACAAATCTAGTTTGTTGGTTGACACGTGGTGAGACCGGCTTCACCGGAGCCGTCCTGAGCCGTGCCAGCATGTCGCTGACCGTTCGCACGCGATGAACACTTGGAGACGCGTCTAGACGATGCGGCGGATGCAGTCTTCTCGCACTCTTCATGACGAGCAATCACACACGACGAATGGGTCGAGAGGCGTTTGTAGGTAACGCGACGATGCAACGTCCCCGCAGTGACATCAAACACAATGATTGCATCATTGGCACTGCCCCCACATGGCCCCGAGCCAAATTCAGATGCCTTTGTGATGCCAGTTTTCAAAAATAGAAGTCTCCTGGTTTGTTTCTGGATGGGCAAAGCAAATCTCCTGGACAAATGCGAAAAAATGAGCTTCACAGCTCATCGGATTCCTCCAGTCTAAATGAACATTCTGATTCTGAATAGCCAGTAGGAAAAGAGAAACGAGTTTTCCCGTCTACGGCAAGGGGCGATTTTTTATAGCGACGATGGTAGAGAAATTCCAGCCTGTCTAACCAAACAGCTTTGACCGACGGTGAACTTCTTGTCACCGCAGGGAGCGCAGGGTCCCCCGCGCGGGCATTAGCTCCACACCGATGATGATGTTGTCCACGCTGATGATGTTGTGCGTAGTGTTGCATTTCGGGCCGAACCTGGACGTTGCCCGATGCGTATTTCACGTGGCTAAGCACAGCGCGCCGTCCTCAACGTTACGCGGCGCGGCCTCTAAGATGTCCGGGCTAGCTCAGGGGTTGGCGAGTGTCCCTGCGTCGAGTGAATATTGAATGTCGCCCCTTTTTCTACAGCTCGTAATGTCTAACTATTTATTTATTTTGGAATTACAACTAATTATTTCGGAGAAAAAGCAGCGCAAGACAAAAAGGTTATGGAAACATGAAAACGCACACCGCGGGAGCTGCCGGAAAACCATGAGTCACAAATTCTGCATTGCTCGCAGAGCCAGCCCTAAAGGAGTCACAGCGGAGAGAAGTGAACTGTTGGAATTTCCTGGCCGCGTGACGATGCCGCGCTGGGTCGAGACTCGGCCGCACAAACGGAGTCGTCGGCGTTGCTTCGAGTGTTTTGGGGGTAAATGATTGCTCGATGTTCGAGAACTCTATGGACTCCGTCCGTATCTATGGGACCCTTTTTGTCAGCGTCAAGATATTGAATGATTAAAAAAAGGCTTCACCCTAGTATAGGCCAATCAGCTTCAAGGACAGACCATATATTATCAAAGCATATTCGTTTAAAACATGTTTTACCACAAAGTCCGTGTGGCTAATGAAGACTTGATGATACCTTGTATGTTAGGTGTCTTATTTTGGCGTTCGAACATCTTGACACCGCCTGTATTCATGGCCAATAGGGGGTAAAGCCTTTCATTTTAATCGTTCAAATCGCGTTACAGTTGTATAGAACGACGTTCGCGCTTTGACTTTGGGGAGTGCCAATTTTAGTTTTCTGCCTTCCCCTTTCAATTTTCAATGACCCTCCCCCACCCCCGCATCACCCCCTGCGTGATCTCCTGGGACGTGTCGTGGTACCGAGCAAGCGGCGTTTACACCGCTCGGCCCGCTCACGCGCACGGCGCGGCGGTAGCGGCCACCGTTGCCGGCAGCGGCGCCGGCCCCCTCGGCACCACCGTCGATGTCTCTCTGCGGGGCCCTCTGGGACGAGCCCTCGATTGGCATCGCGACGTTCGTCACCACGTTCGCCAACGTCTCGTTTTTCGTTAACAAAGGGACTAACTGTAAATGTGTCAACATTTTACGTGCTAATTTAAGCAAATTATTATTTTTTTTTTTTACAATTTACGTTTTGCTAACACTGTAGTTTTGGGTTGAAATTACGATTATTTCCAGCTGTATCCAGAGCTTAATTTCTCCACCTCCTGCCGATGTTTCCATAAAACAAGCAAAAAAACATCTCCGTAGCTTGCGATGCTTTAATCGGGTCGTGCCGCGTATTGGTCGGCGTGACGTCCGACGTTTCGCGACAAATGCTGGGAGCTTCCATGAAACGAAAAAACAAAAAAAAATCATCCCACCTTCAAAGATACTCACGCTGGAGCGAAACGTCGGGACACCGTGCCGAACGGCGGAGTACGGCGCGACCCCGAAAACCCATCGTAGATCTGCTGGGCAGCACTACCGCGAAACAAACACCCTAACCCAGCGCTGAATTACAAACGGGCGATCGAAACTTTGTGTGGCATGACGTGTGGGTGTCGGGGGAGGAGTGGTGCTCCAACCAGGACCACTCAGAGTAGGGGGGGAGAGAGGGGGATACTCGGGGACAATTTGCAATTGGGCTTTGAAAAATACCTCTGAGTGATTCTGGGCTACAACAAGAGGGAGGGGGGAGGGGTGAACGGTCAGTTCCAAACAATCTAGTGTGTGAGAAGGGTTGCCATCTTTCATAGCCGTCGGATGAATACCTGACAGTTCCGTACGCCCTGTCTTAGATCAACTTGTTTAGGATGTTTTAACTGAAAAATGAATTGACGACAACAACAACAAAAAGTGCCAAATCTGGATAACGAGCGGAGACAATCCACAGGCAAATTTCGACAGAGCTCCACTCGGCACTCCTGACTCAGTGCCCTTCCACTGAACGGATCTCTTCCTGGGAGAGTGAAGCGAGTTGCGATTGAGCACGTGGGTGCCACGCGCGGGTCGCGGGACCTATTTGTGACCGTACTTCACCACACTTGCCCTCTGCGGCATGGTGAATGCCGCAGGGAGCATAGACGCCCGGAGCATAGTACGGCACAACGTTGCATCTTGCTGCCCCCACTGCCCTTGTGCCGACAACTTGACTGCACGGCTGTGGCAACAGCTGCTCGATACACAGTGGCCGCCCATCCAAGCGCCGTCCAGGGTCAACTCGGCTTAGCCTCCGCCGAGTTCCGATGGGATTCCAGGTGGCGTGATCGGAGGTGCGACCTCAAAACAACGGCTCCATTCTTTGGTTCTTTCGGTAAAGTCGCGTAGAAAAAAAAATATATATAATACGACGTTTCGATTGCAACACAAGCAGTCGTAATGAGGTAGAACTAAATTTGAGAGAGAGACAAAACACAGACACGGAGACACACACACACCCAAGTGTGTCTGTGTGTCTCTGTGTTGTCTCTCTCTGCTTGTGTGTCTGTCTGTATGTCTCCGTGTCTGTGTTTGTCTCTCTCTCAAATTTTAGTTCAGCCTGATGACGACTGCTTGTGTTGCAACCGAAGCATCGTATTCTACTATTTAATTTATTTTCTTTCTACGTGACTTTACCGAAAGAACCAAAGGGCAATTCCTGCAGTCACGAAAGCTTCAAATCAACGGCTACGTTTTACGTAACGGCGGCTGCCTCTGCGTTCCAACCGCGCAGTGCGCTGGCTCGGGCGTTTCACGAGGTGGGGTCCTGCCCGGCGCGTTCCGCCGTCACGGCCTGCGCACGTTTGGACGTCGACTTCGCTACGATTTGAAAGTGTGTAACCACCACCCCCCCCTTCCCCCTATTAAGTTAGACCGTGGGGGGTGGGGGGTCTGCAACCAAAACAACAAGAAGAACCATTTTTATTCGTTAAAAAAAAACTCAATATTTCACGAAGCCACCGAAGCACGCGACTACTAGGCGGCGGTTGCTTCATCAATCGCCGTCGCGAAGGGGCCCTTAGCGAGCCGCATCGCGTCTCCGGAGCCGCAGGTTGCCGACCTCAGGTGCAGACGGACACAGAACACTTCCCAAAGGTTGATGCCATTCCCCGCGCCTCCGATGAGCGCGGTTCGCAACGTACGGTGCGAAAGAAGTTCCACGTACATGAACACCAGGGACGTGCGGTCAGGGGAGGCAGGGGAGGCAGAGCCTCGCATGTCATACTCCAGTGAAAATAGCTGGTACGAAAAGTAAAACAAAAATCATCAAATGAAATAAATATTAAGATTTTTCCACTGATCTGTGTTATAAATGTAATTTCTGTTCGATTACAATCATTTTTATCGTCAAAATCGCCAAATTTGCGGAGCTCCGCTGCAAATACAGGAAGAGGCGAGAGGTGAGGCAGCAATGAGCTCAGCCTCCCCTCTGATTGCGCAACCTCTCAGTAACTGGATGGAGTGCGGGCAATAAACGCGTGCCTGTTACTATCTCAGTATGTCACCAATGTAATGTTTGTAGATCCCTTCATTTCATGTCCTCGCCTTCCATACTCCAGGTAACTTATTTCACGTATATGTATAGATATATTTAGGTTCGCTGGTCTCGTCATGAAACTGCCATGAAAAAGCACCAGGGGAGGCAGCTTTCACATCTGCCTCACTGAGGGGGACGTGTCTAACACGCCCCCCTCAGTGAGGACACGCCCCCTCAGTGAGGACACGCCCCCTCCGTGAGGCCACGCCTCCCTCAGTGAGGACACGCCCCCCTCAGTGTGTAAATCTGGCTCTGACACGAGCCAGTGCCTCCCCAGCCATTGACCTCACCGCACGCCACTGATGCACACAAACTTTCCTTCATTCTTTCCCAGCAGGTTTTGCGCCATTAAAACTCGATGGAGTTCCCCGCCCGAAATGGGTCACATTTGTGAGTTGGTTCAACGGGTGAGAGGCCACATGCGGCCGAGATTCACCGCGCGGTTGCACGCTCTATCAATGCCGCTGGTTCAGCGGTCGAAGATTTTTTCCCGGTAGGTTTGTTACGGTGTCTCCTCCGTTCCGCCCGAGTGCATTGTTTGTTCGACTGGCCGGGTGGTGGAGTGCCTTGCAGTCCACTGCCACCTTACACCGCTGCGTCACATCTTGGGACATCGTGTCGAGACGTTACGTTTTACCTTTTAAGGAACAGCAATGCTTTTCATATTACAAGCACCCGACCTGAAATACAGCACAGGTCGAGGCGAGGGTTGGTGGTTCACACAAAGCTTCATCAGGCTTCCTTTGCCAGTACCAACATATACTAGGTCAGTTTTGGCAACAAAACTGACCCCTTTTGTAAGGAATCGTGTTAACATGATTTCTTGCAAAAGGTGTCAGTTTAGTCGCACAAAGCTGGTGAAGCTCCCTTGCTGCCAAGGTCTGGCTCACAGGGAAAGTAGCAGTACAGCAGGTGGATTCATTACCGTACGTACAGGGTCTGAGTGTTGCCCTCTCTCCCAACCACCCCGCCTTAACATCCACGTGTACGTTTTCTCCACGTGCTCGCCCCCCTTTTCTCCCACGTGTATCGTGACTCGATTATAGGAGTTGAACAAACATCTCGATATATACAGGGCCACAGAACTTGGGCGATTGCTGGCGGGATTCCGTTCTGGCCGCCTTCCCGAATACCCGCGGTTTACCGCGTCCAAGGAAAGTTGTGCTCCTGACAAAAACGTGACCTTAACTTTGTGTTCGCTCCTACGTACACAATGTACGATCGCCATCCCTGAGAATGTGACGTTTATAAATTGCGGTTCATTCTTAACAGGTGTCTTTCATCTTTCCCCTGCTGCGTCCTTATACAAAGTTAACTTTGGATCTGGCTCCCTATATCGATTCCAGATGAACGTTTTTTTTATTTTTAAATGTATCCGTTTTGTATTTATTCATTGTTGAAAAGGCAGCGGCATTCCCCGCGACGCAATTTGCCATCCGCGGTGGCTCACCGGTGGCTCTGTCGGTGCCGTCACCAGTGACGCGGAGAAAATCGCCACGGCTCTCGGGGACATCTTCAGGCCCTGGTTCCATTTCTTGTCGAGGATGGGGGGGGGGGGAGCGCTGCCACCGTGCGTTTTGGCCGCGCGCCGTGGACTTGCAAATCCTAAGGGCGACGCTGCCGCGTTATTTCCATCTCCCCGGAGCGTCGGTTGAAATCTCGGGAGGTTATTTCTGAAATCCCACCACCATCTCGCCAGCCGCCTCTGGATCAAATGAGTACGCGCGCGTCGATCGATCGGCGGGGGATGAGGTTCCCGTTCCCGTCCGTCTGGGTGGTGGGGAAAAGTGTGGGCGCTCCCACCTCGCCAAAAGACGTGTGGCTAGCGTGGGAGTACCGGGACAAAATACCCCGTCGACAGGGGGGGGGGCTCTGGAGCTCCCTCTCGTGGGGAGGGCCTTCCGCATAACAGTGGCGTGAGCGGGCAGTTGCAGGACTGCGCCTTTATATTGAGTACATTTGACGTCTCTTTGAAGGACCTTAACGCGACATACTCGCCGATGTCTCCAGCCGTTTGTTTGTTGCCAAAAAGGCCGCCGCGGTAGTTTTTTTTTTACAACTTTGGCGTGGCGAGTGCGAGGCCACGCGCGCCAACTCGCCACCGGCCGCTCGCACGCGCGCGCCACGGGAGCCAGGATGAGCCTGTTACCAGCAGCCTACGGGCATTGCCCTGAACGGGGTGGGGGGTCACCTCATGCCCCCCCCCCCCCAGGGGTCAACGTCCTTGAGTCCCAGCACCCGCTGAGGCTCTGAGTTTCGGTCCCAGGTTTCATCCGCTCGGTGATCGATAACCGGGGCCTCTCACGGTGATGTTCTCGGCTTTGATCGCCAATTTTAGCTACACACCCACCCCCCTTTCTCGGTTGCTGTATTACATATTGACGTGGCTATAACCCAGCCGTGGTCAGAGACGCGACCTCAAAACAACAGCTACGTTTTACGTAACGGCTGCCTCTTGCATTCCAGCGGCCGCAGTGCGCTGGCTCCAACGAGAATGCCGTGCTCGTGACGAATCTGCCTCTCATCACGGACGGGCTTGCAAGTGGCGTCGTAAAACGGTCGCGCTTGCTGCCAAGTATCCACATTGCAATACAGTGTACTCTGCGGTACACTTCACTCAGTCGTGAACATCGTATACATGTACCCGTGTGCAATGTTATTATTCGGCTTTCGACTAGCAGACCTGTGCAAGTATGAATGTACGCGGTTATTGTTTTCACATTCTCTTTGGTTATTTCGGTAAAGTCACGTAGGTAGAAAATAATAGATCACGACGTTTCGATCGCAGCACAAGCAATCGTCATCAGGTGGGACAACCACAGCAAGAACAAACTGCTGAAACTTGCTGTGGTTGTCCCACCTGATGAGGATTGCTTGTGTTGCGATCGAAACGTCGTGATCTATTATTTTTCTACCTACGTGACTTTACCGAAAAAACCAAAAAGTATGGATTCATGCAGTCACGAAAGCTTCAAATCAAGATTGCTTTCACATTCTCACGTGTTTCTTCCAAGGCCCGGTTCAAATTTCCATTAAGCGTCCTT